TTCCAAATATAATATTTGGAATTGGTGTCACTAACTATGTCAATGAGACTCATGTCCTTCTGCTACATGACAAAACATGTTTCGCTGGACTTAGGGTTCATTTGGATGAGATTTTTTCTTTTCAAAAACCATTTTTTTTCAAGAAAAAAGTACTTCTCATAAAAAATTTGTTTAAATACATATTCTTAAAAAAATCAGAAGTCATAAAAAAAGCAAAAAAACTTATTTTTTTAAAGTTAAAATTTTTAAATTCTAAAGAAAAGTAGAAATCAAATGCCAATTACTTTTTCCAAAAACCAAAAATTAAAAAAAAATATAAATAATTTTAACTTGTGTAAAAAAAATAAAAAGCATTTTTTTAAAGCCCATCCCTTAATAGCAGGAATAACGAGACAGAATGGGAAATGATTTTTCAAATGTAATGTTTTGATATTTTTATTGGCAAAAGATAGCATTTTAATAATTCTCCTAAAAGATTACATCAAATCATTTTGTTGCTAGTTGTTTCTATCTAAAGAAGGTAAGCGAATATCTTGGACTATTCTCATTGGTTCATCAAAGCCTGGGATGTTGACCTGGATTATATCTGCCTCATCTAGACAACTACAGTAGGCATTTTCTTCAAACTATTTTTTTGTAGAAATCAGACTACTAGAAAAGTGTTTAATATCGTCGGAAATTTTCGACGGAAAAAAATTCCGTCGAAATTATTGATGGAATTTTTCACGGAATACGTTTTTCGTCAAAAATTTCGACGGAAAATAGATTCTGTAAAAAAAATTCGATGGAAAAAGGATTCCGTCGAAAACTTTTCAAAATAAATAAAAGAAAAAGAAATTACATTTTTGGACTTTTCGACGGAATTTTGATTCCGTCGAAAACTTTTGAAAAAAATAAAAGAAAAAGAAATCAAATTTTTTGGATTTTTCGACGGAAAAATTCCCCGTCGAAAACTTTTCAAAATAAATAAAAGAAAAAGAAATTATATTTTTGGACTTTTCGACAGAATTTTGATTCTGTCGAAGAAATTCGACGGAAAAAAATTCGTCGAAAACTTTTGAAAAAAATAAAAGAAAACGGAATTATATTTTTTGGATTTTTCGACGGAAAAGGAATTCCGTCGAAAACTTTTCAAAATAAATAAAAGAAAAAGAAATTACATTTTTGGACTTTTCGACAGAATTTTGATTCTGTCGAAGATTTTCGACGGAAAAAGATTTCCATCGAAAACTTTTGAAAAAAAATAAAAGAAAAAGGAATTATATTTTTTGGATTTTTCGACGGAATTTTGATTCCGTCGAAGAAATTCGACGCAAAAGGAATTCCGTCGAAAACTTTTCAAAGTAAATAAAAGAAAAAGAAATTATATTTTTGGACTTTTCGACGGAATTTTTATTCCGTCAATGATTTTCGACAGAAAAGGAATTCCGTCGAAAACTTTTCAAAAAAAATAAAAGAAAAAAAAATTATATTTTTTGGATTTTTCGACGGAATTTTGATTCCGTCGAAGAAATTCGACGGACAAGGAATTCCGTCGAAAACTTTTCAAAATAAATTACATTTTTGGACTTTTCGACGAGATTTTGATTCCGTCAAAGAATTTCCACGGAAAGGAATTCCGTCGAAAACTTTTCAAAATAAATAAAAGAAAAAGAAATTATATTTTTGGACTTTTCGACGGAAAAGGAATTCCGTCGAAAGCTTTTCAAAATAAATAAAAGAAAAAGAAATTACATTTTTGGATTTTTTGACGAAATTTTTATTCCGTCGAAGAAATTCGACAGAAATGGAATTCCGTCGAAAACTTTTCAAAATAAATAATTTTAAAAGAAATTACATTTTTTGTCTTTTCGACGGAATTTTGATTCCGTCGAAGAAATTCGACGGAAAAAGAATTCCGTCGAAAATTTTTGAAAAAAAATAAAAGAAAAAGGAATTATATTTTTTGGATTTTTCGACGAAATTTTGATTCCGTTGAAGATTTTCGACGGAAAAAGAATTCCGTCGAAAACTTTTCAAAATAAATAAAAGAAAAATAAATTATATTTTTGGACTTTTTGAAGGAATTTTTATTCCGTCGAAGATTTTCGACGAAAAAAGAATTTCGTCGAAAACTTTTCAAAATAAATAAAAGAAAAAGAAATTACATTTTTGGTTTTTTCGACGGAATTTTGATTACGTCGAAGAAATTCGACGGAAAAAAAATTCTGTCAAAAAATTTATTAGTAAAAATAAAAGAAAAAGAAATTACATTTTATGTTGCATTCTTGAGTTTATTCATGTAGCTTGTTGAATCAAGTTTCTATATTTTAGTGGGTATCTTATCCTCCCCTAGTTGCACATTCCTCGTTTTTCTAATAACGTAACCACATAAGTGTTTCAGTTAGTTTAACTTTATATATATATATATATATATATATATATATATATATATATATATATTATAATTAACTTAACTTATATATATATAACGTAGCTATGCACACTTAGTCTCTTAAATTACTTATTATGTTATTAATCAGGAACTTTTCCCTTAATGGATAGTTTCAAATTGGAAGATGATGCTCCTAATAAAGAAGAAGATAGTCAAAGACAGAGAAAAAAGCCAAGGAGGATTCAAGTCAAGGAGAGTCTTGACTAGGGATATTTCATGTTTACCCACTTAAAATCATTATTCATGTGTATGAAGACGATGATTATGATCCTAAGTCTACAAAACTTATCACTCTAGGATTTGAGTACTTGAAGTTGAATATTGTATGTGTTGGAATAGAAGGATTGTGTATTGATTTGAAGTTGAAAAAAGACTGAGAGGAAATTGTTCTATTGAATTATGAACTCAGTTTTGCATTGTATATTGACATTGGAAATTGTATAAGTCTTTTGTAATACTTAGCCTAATATATGATATTGACTTTTTGTGCATTTAATGTATTGATTAGGGAGATTTCATTTTGATTTGTTGTTTACTTTGATTATATATTTTTATCAGGTGCAGTACAAAAATTGGTATTAATTTTATAGAGAAAAATTTTAAAAAAAATTCCAAAATTTTGAGACAGAATTTGTTTTCCGTGGAAAATCTTTACATAAGTTTTCGACGGAATTTTATTCATTTTCCGCTGAAAATCTTCGACGAAATTTATTTTTCGTCGAAAATTATTACAAGATTTTACGACGAAATTTCATTCATTTTCCGTTGAAAATTTTCGACGGAAAATTGTTTTCCGTCAAAAAATATTACTATATTTTTCGACGGAATTTCATTCATTTTCCGTCGAAAAATTTTGACGGAATTATTTTTCTGTCGAAACTTTCCACGGAAATTATTCCGTCGAAAATTTTCGACAGAATCTCTAATTCCGTCGAAAAAATCATTACCCACGAAGAGAAATTCGACGACTTCATTTTCGTCGAAAATTTAATCGAAAACATCATTTTCGACGGAATTTTACCGTCGAAAAATAGCATTTTTTAGTAGTGATCACACAATAAAATAGCGAGAATTGTTAATTTTATGTAACACATTTATAAAATTTATGGTGCCTCTGGCTATGACGCCAAAAAATTAATAAATATTTCGAGAAAAAAAAAAGTTATTAAAGCTCTAAAATAAAAGAATATGTGAGTAATGAAGAGTAGAAAATAAATAAACTTAAAACTAGATAAGGATTTTTTATTTGTTATAAACTGTTGCCGTTGGGGTATACAAGGAAATACAAAAGACAAAGAGAGCTTTGAGCATGGAGAGTCAAGAAGAAAGAGAAGCCATCATAACTCATTAAAAAAACTAAAACTAAAAGTAAAACCATCAATATTCAATATGGAAGTTGAAGAGTTCTTGTATGTATGCATCTTATTTTCTTCCATTGGCCAGATAAGAGCCTTAGACCCATTTTGACATAACACCAATGATTTTGGATTAGAAAAAAAAAAAGAATGAGAGGATTTTAAACAATAGTTCAAAATAGTAATTTAACTATACTTGCCAATTAGATAAAAATAGAAACTACTAATTTGAGAAAAGAGCTGGGACTCTTCACCATAGTCAAAACTACTAATTAGCTAACACGAAACTTTTATAACTGATGCTTTAAGAATTTTTAAAAGATAAAGGATAGAATTACAACAATTTATTAAAAAAATTAACTTTTAATATTATTTTTATAATAAAAATTAAATCAATGTTAACTTTCTATTTAAAATTAAGTTCATTCAAGTAAAGATTAAAACTGAACCTCCAAAACAAAGTGATATGAATTATTTTTTGGTCAAAATGATAGGAATATTTGAAAATTAATAAGAGTTTATATTAATTGATAAGTTATATTTATTACTTTTTTTCCTTATACTTTCTTAAAATCATTTTTTATTGTTATTTTATCAAGATAAGTTATCATTTTTATTGATTCAAATAATAACAAAAAATTATAACCAGAATTTTACTATCCTCTTAATACTATCATTTAATGGAAGGGGAAGATTATACTTAATATCATATTTTTATCATTATTTAATTATTGTTGGATTAATTTAAAATCAGTCGAATTTTCTTCTATTAAAATAAAAAACAGCAAAGTCAAAAAGTCAAAATAGAGATTTTTTTTTACCATCTTTCGATTGAATGATAGTTATTTTTTTATTTTTTTTAACTGTTAATTTTAAATTGATCCTAATCAAATAAATAATAAGACGTAAATTTAAAATGATAATAAATATAAACACCCTCTTAAATAAAAACAAAAAACAAAAAAAAAATATAGGAACCGACACAACGTGTAATTACAGTTGCAGTCTTCCCCGTCAAATGAGGCAAAAAAACAAACGATTTAACATTGACATTTCCAATTCAGATCCTTAACGTTTCTTTCTTCGTTCACTCCTTTCATTAACTTTTTCAATTATTTTATTCATTTATTTTCTTCACCTAACGCACAGTTTTCTTTTCCATGTCGTTTTCAGATGCGTTATTCTTATTAATTATTATTATTATTATTTTTTTCTCATTTTCCTCTCTGAAAAAGTCTCATTTTCACAATCTTCTCTATCTCCTTTGACTCTGTTTCTCTCTCCTCGGTTTCTTTCTCGGTTTCGAGAATTTTCCTACAGTTTCATTTTTTTTTAGGTCCAACACAGACTAAGGTGGTTTGGTTGCTAACGTTGTACTTGCTGTCGGTGAGTTAGTTCCTGCTTCTTATTCTGTGTGTGATTTTTTTTTATTTTAAATTTTTTGTTGTTGTTGTTGTTGTTGTTGTTGTTGATGGCTTATGTTAATTTTGTTTGAATGATACGTTGTTCTGTTTGTCCGAAGCTGGAATTTTCATTCTGTTATGTTTTTGTGTACAGAAAAATGAGCATTGAAGAGTTCCTAATCTTTTGGAATTATAATTGGATGTTCAAATGTTGGTTGTGTAACTTGTTGTAATGTTTGATTGTACTAGAGATTTATTGGTAATAATGGAAAGAATCAACTATGATTCAATTACAGGTTATTCTTGAAGAGGGAGGACCTTGTGCAGACCATTCTATGTCTTCTGTTAAAAGTTCTTCGAACGGGCTTAAAAATGATGGGATTCAGAGTCAAGGCTCTGAGATTCTAGGCAGGTAATACATAGGACATGAAGGCTTTTTATTTATTTTTGTTGTTGTTGTTGTTGTTTTGTTTTGGTACTGTTAATTATTGTTTTGGATGCAGAAAGAATTTTCTTACTGAATATAGTTAAGAGTTTAAGGAAAGGGATGAGTGAGATTTAAGAGGGGAAGGGGCATGGAGCAGAATATATGAGGTAGCATTGGTTTAAAAATTGGTTAATTTAAAGGTAAATGATGCATTATGTAATTATATGCAACAATATAACTAGCAGTACATTTACTAAAAAAGAAAAGAATAGACTAGCAGTACAATGTAGTACAACTTGGTAAAAACATAAATACCCTTTTATGCAAGAGCGGTTTGTTTAATTGTTTAAGGTAACTTGGTAAAACAAAACTAGCATAAGCTTGTTTGCCATGTTTCTCTCAGCAGCGCTCCTCCAAATTTCCCAAGTTATGATAGAAAGAGCATTGAGATTTTTCATGACCACAAACAAGACCACTGCCACTACTACTGCTATAGAGTTGTTGGCAGTGAGATTAGTAGAGGAATCTGATATTAACATGGTTGGAGTAATAGATTAGAGGGTAGTGGAGGCATATCTAAGATGTTGAACAGGTGCTGAAAGGTCTACCGATAAGGTGGGACTATCAGCATTGGTCAAATTTGTCGGTGGACAATGTCTGAGACCTGTGGAAGAGCACAGAGAATGGGGACTATCATACATGGGTTTTCCTCTGCTACCTATATGGCTATATCAAACACGTGGAATTGAGCTCTATTAGGAAGCTCTGTCTCAAGCATACAAGTGCAAAAATTAATTCTTCCTGCGATTTTTTTTGTTCTTCGTAATGAAGTTTTAAATAGACAAAATACAAGTTAAAAGTAGTAACCACCCAAACAACTAAACAAAATAAAACAACCCATTACTATGATGCCTATCTCCTAAAAAAACTATCCTTTAACGAATCCCTACAGAAAGATTGGAACAACATTGGTAAACTCTAACGTTCAACTTGCAGACTTTTTACTAAGGTTCTTAGACTTCCCCAAGTGAATTATATATGACGAGCTGCTCATATGGTATACAAGCACCAGCTTGAGGGGGAATGTTAGAATATCATAGGCATTCATGGTATGATATCATGCATATATTGTAGAATTGGTTACGAACCAATATAGGATTATATATATCTGAGATTGAACCATTGTAATTAACATTAGCACTAATATATATATATATATATATATATATATATATATATATATATATATATATATATATATATATATATATATATATATATATATGGAGTTTGTTACAAATATGCTTTTTTATCCATCAGTTTTATTCTCTGAATTCAAATAAGAAACATTCCATCATAACTTCATATTTTTTCTCTTTAAGTGTTATCATTGTATTATGCAATTGTTTCCTTAATGTTGTGTCTCATACACTATATTTACATTTTATAAAGCTTTAAAAGAATGATCACATTAAAATTCCAATCCACTGCGGATGAGTAAAATTTTTACATTTAGTATATTGACTCTCGAGTATGATTACAAACTACCTAGATCGATCAAATGTCTTGCATATTCAATAGCATATATATATATATTGGGAAAAACATTTCTCCAGCCACTTGAGATAAGTGTATCTCAAGCTACCCCTTTTAATTATGTACTACGGGTAGTACATAGTTAAAATGTTAAAGTTGCTTTTTTCTCTCTCTCCACGTCATCATACAAGTTCTGAAAAGTGACTGAGGAGAGAGAGAAAAAAATAAATTTATACTATCTATAGTACATAGTTAAAAAGGGTATTTTGAGATAAACTTATCTCAAGTGGCTGGAGAAATGTTAACCCTATATATATATATATATATATATATATATATATATATATATATATATATATATATATATATAATTTAAGAGCAGAAGATATTTACAAATAATTTGGAGGATAAGGATCCTCCTTAAGGCAAGTGATGATGATGATGTTTTTATTAGAAAATCCAGGTCTCCACTATTTTGTTTCTTCTTTGGATGCATTTAGTATTCTGCTTGTGTTATGTTGGAACTTTCAATTTGTTATGTTCAAGTTGTGATGTGATAAATTCGTTGTTATTTGCATGGTAGGTACAATTTTGAAACACAACTGGCTCAAAGAAATTTCAAAAGCAATGATGCACTCAATCACATCCACGACCCAGATGCTATGGTAATAGAGTATAACAGTATTTTATATGTAGCGCATTCTGGCGCATGAATTTTTTTTCTAGAAGATGCCATAATTCATTTATGCATGTAATTTTTCTTTTGAAGATACTTAAGCTTCATACAATTCCATCAGATTAGAAGTTTGTTTGCAGGAACTTTATTCAAGAGTGAGGGTGCAAGAAGAGGAGATCGTGTCTCTTCGTGAACAAATTGCTATTGCCTGTATGCAGGTATGAAATATATGCAGGTATGAAAGTTATATCTGCATCTTTGGGATTTGAGTTAATTAACTAAATTTAATGGTGGCAGGAACTGCAGCTGTCGATTGAGAAATGCAAACTAGAGAGGCAGTTCTCTGAACTAAGAATGGTTAGTCAATGTCTTTGTAAGTTATGGTTTTCCTTTAGCATTTTACTTAGATAACTTCGTTTTTAATTTTGCATGTCATATTTGTTCATTAGGCAGTTGATGACAAGCAAAATGAAGCCATCACATCTGCGTCTAATGAGTTGGCTCGAAGGAAAGGTTATCTTGAAGAAAATTTAAAACTTTCACATGATTTGAAAGTAAGTTGGTTTCATGATGATATTAGTATTTTATTTACCTGTTTTGAATTTTCTTGTTTTGTTATTATAGGAAGGAGGAAAGGAGAAAGAATGAAGACTGAATATTATATGTTACATTGTGATATGAAGTTATACAAAAGGCAAAGTAATAAGCCGTGTTTATACTGATGAAACCTCAATTTGATTTATAATGAAATCAGAAACAGTTCACAGACAAATACAGTAACTAGACAAGTTACTTAAATATATCAAATTAAGCAGTAATTGCACACATTTTGTAATCTATTAATACTATATGCATTTGCTTTCATTATTTTTTTCTGGACTTACCTTTTCTCTTCTCATGTGCTTCTGGATGCTGTTATTGATGTACATCATTAATCTAGGCTGTAGATGATGAGAGATATATTTTCATGTCATCGATGCTTGGGTTGCTGGCAGAATATGGTCTATGGCCTCGTGTTATGAATGCCTCTTCAATATCCAACTGTGTAAAGGTATGAAAATATGGTGCTGGATGAATTGTAGGTTAAACAAGATTTGCATTGATCCTTGCCATATACTGTACTCATGTCACCAATTGCATGAATTCTGAAGTGACCCTTGAATGCAATTTTTATTTATTTTCTTCTTTTGAGTTGACAACAAATTGAAGGACATTATTAAGAAAAAGGTTAATGATCCCAAATCATTGTTCTATGGATAGTCCATACATATATAGTTGGAGTAGTGTAAAGCTGTCTATTTCAGAATTATCTACTGAAATGTCTAATATTGTACTAAGTGGATTAGTGTTTGGCACTATTTATTTGTTGAATATGGAGAGAAAATTGACCAAAAAGGAAATTTGAGGTGGAAAATCATGATCTAATCCTATTATCTGTATTAGAGAATATTATGCATCATTCTCTTCCTCTAAAATAACATATATTATCCTAATCTATTATGCATCATTCTCTTCCTCTAAATAGTTTATATATTCTAACGTTTTGTATTAGTTCTTGTTCAGCATTTACATGATCAATTACAATGGAAGATTCGGAGTTCACATGTAAGTTTACACACTTCCTATACACATTTACGAGTTATTTTTGCCCTTCAGCATTGTAATCTGGATTACTATCCTTGCCAAATCTTTCTATACGAATCCTGTGGTGATAGAAATCTGACTGAAAAATTTAGAATAACACATGTTCATGGTGAAAAACTAATGCAATGCTTAATACACTATTAACATTGTTGATTACTAAGTTACTTGCTTCATAAATTTCTTTCAGTTTTACTTTATCTCTGGAGGTTTCTTTACATTCTTTCAGTCCTACTAATTATTAACATTATTTTGTGAGTGCTTTCTCGTTTAGTCTCCCATTAAATTCTTCATTTTATATTTGTGGCCATTAAATGGATAGATTAATAATTTCTTGATGCCCCTTCATTTCTATTATTATAGTTCTTTTTGTTTATGCTTTGTTTTTAAGTGAAGTCTGTATTTATTTAGTGATTCTCCCAGTGAATTGCTGATTGATTATTGCTAAAAGTTCAGTGATTAATTTTTTTGACAGGATAGAATTGGAGAGTTGACTTCTGTGCTAGAAAGCCATGCCGATAATGGTAATCCTGTTGTTGAAAGCCCAGGTTCGGGAAATGTGACAAGTCACATTCATCATGAATTCATGGTACTATTGGCATTTAATCTTCGTGCATGCTATGTCCTTCACATTTTGTGTGTTTATCATCATAGATTTTCTTTTGTTCTCATTAATTCCAATTTGACTTATCATTTCAGTTTCAGCATAACTTCCCCCAGCAAAGTCTTTCTGGGAATGAACTAAATCCTCAATCAATGAGCAATTTGGCAGGATATATGCACCCAGTTCATAGGTATCTTTTATCCACTTCTATTTTTACAGTGTGAATATCCCTTTTCCATAATTAGTTAGGAACAATGTGTAGCATGACATCTTGAGCTACATTAGAGTTTGAAAACTCACATGGTCTTCTCATGTTGAAGTTGATTCCTTGCCTAGTTTAAAAAGGATGGTGAAGAAATTTCCACTGGTTGTTTAACGTAATGTGATGGGAAATATTTGCTTCTATTTTATGGACTGCCATTTATCACATTGCACTTTCATCTCATGCATACACACGTTCGCACATACAAAAGGTGAGAGGAGCCAACTTGACCATTTAATTTGACGTGGATGGTCAAGATTAAAAACTATTTAAAGGCCACATGACTATTTAAAAGTTACATGACTTTACGTTCTAATCTTGACCATACATGTAGGATCTAGTGGTTAGCATTTGTTCTGCTTTGATCATACTCTCACAGTGTGCACTCCCTCACTTTGACATGTTCCCTATATCTATCTATAAGAATTTTTGAAACGTTTACTAAAATGTAAGTGTTTATAAGGTGAGAATTACTTGATATTGCTGAGTAGGCATATTTTTGTTTTCGATATATCTACTTACGTATGAAACAATTTGCGTAGGGAAGTATCTTCTTTCCCACATGGTTCAATTGATAAAATTGGAGTGCAGGACAGGACTAAAGAAAGAAATTTTGTCAATGGCAAGTCGTATCAATCTCCACTTGAGCATGATGAGAATGATTCCTCTGTTTCTGAGGGTAATTTATGTTTTCGACTGTAATAGATAGAATAGATAACATATTGTTGTAAGTATAAAAGGAATAATTGCATAAATTTGTTTCTCCCTTTTCCCTTTCATGAGGAAGATTTGATAGGATAGATTTTTGAGAGATTAAAGGGCAGATTCGTTTCTTATTTCTTTTATTAGAATTAACTCTCTATTAGGAAACATCTATATATTCCAAATTTCAACTTGATGTTTGAGTGCCCGATATGGGCTTCTGCTTATTAACCCTAGTCCTAGCTTGCCTTCATGAAAGCCTTGTAGCAATCGTTTTCATTGCTATCGACCCCTTCTAAGTCTTTGCCTTTATTACACTCGTGCCATTGGATTTTTATCCTTAGCTGCTATTGCCCATCGTTGTCAACCATTCGCCATCATTGTATCACCAACTGGTGAACCCACCATCAACTTTGCTTTCTACATGCCTTCCATTCCTAGGAGACCACCCGCGGCCGAAAGATTTCCCACTTGCCCTCGCCCTCACATGCGTTTTCTACCTCTAAGTGTTAGATCTGTGTGTTGCCAGCTTAGCTCGTGGGTGGTGGTGTTTCTAGCCACCATTGCCTCCGCTATCACTCTCAATCAACTTGATGTGACCCTTTCTCTCTGGATTTTCCCTCGATTAGCCCATCGTTCATCATGTGTGTTTGGTTTTTGTCATCTTCTCCATGGCTAGCCACCTAGTCCACCTTTGGCCACCATGTTAGACTCAGAGGTCCATTATGACCATGCCTTGCATCCGATTCACTGCCTCGAAAACTTAATCATATTAAAGGGAATGCTCCTGATATGTCCTTGGGAAGCTAATAAGTTGTTAGAACTTCATATATCCCTTTAGGACTTAAACTAGTTGATGAATGGACTGAGGTATTGTAGAAATGTAATATAAAAATCACTCATGTGTCTTCATCTAATAGCTTAAACTTTTGGAAAAGTTGATTCATGACATGATATCAGAGACACTATAACTAAGTGGATTAGAGTTCAATTTTTGTTATGCTAATTCTCCTAATAAAAATTTTAGCACACAATTGTTGGGCCTGTACATTTACCATACTTCAATCCCAAAGGACACTTGGAGTAAGGGGGTATATAAAAGGCGTCGACATTGGAGATAAAGGCTACAACTTGATGGAACCTACTTTTATTAGTATGAAATTGCAGAAAATATAAATAGAAACAAGCTCCTTTCAAGGATAAAATGCAGAAAATAAACCCAGAAATCTCAACTCTCAGAGATCCCCAATTTCCTCACAAGCCAATATTGAATTCTTGCATAAAGAAAACACACCCTAAGTATCTATAATAATTAATTCCTAACTAATGGCTTGGATATTTTATTAAAGGCCCATCAATACTCCCCCTTGAAAATTTACCTTGTCTTCAAGGTGAAGGGAGAGACTAGGAGTCCACCTAGATCACATTACTTAAAGCATATAGACCAAGTTACACATATATGTATCATGTTTAGTTGATCCACTGATTCTGAACCATGTGGCTTGTTTTTTCCTGGGCCCATGACTATTTTCAACACTAACTCGGATTTAATAACTTTAAGTTTTGGGCCTTGATCCAACAAAGTTGCTGAAGTTATTTTTATGAGATGGACAAAACTCATTTTTTTTTCTAACTCATAATTCGTTTGGGCTTGGCCCATTAGGTCAAAAATTGACCCAATTTCTGAAATACCATCTCTGACCTTATTCTCTTTATCTCCTCCTGATCGAGGTTTTCTTCGCACTGCAAGTATGCTCTTTTTCCCTTTCCTTGTATTTTTTCAGCTTCTTCCTTTTCGTCTTCTTCATCCTCTCCTCCTCCTTCTTTTGTTTTTTTTTCCGCTACTTCCTCTGCGTCTTCTTCTTCCCCTCCTCCTCCTCCTTCTGTTTCTTTGGGTTGCCCCTAGTCAAGCACATGCAGCCAGCAGCATGTCTTTGTCAATGGTCTTCTCCGCTGAGCCGCAAAGCCGATGGCCTGAGCTCCTTGTACCGTCGCTCCTGCCACTGTTCGCGCGCAGTCTCGCTGCTGGTTCCAGCGCGTCTTCTCCCTGTATCAGATCTGACTTTGTGTGATTCTTCTTTTTCTGTTTTTTCTTCTTCCTCCTTTGGTTCTTCATTTGTTGGTTCTTCACAATGAAAACAGAGGTTCGTTCTTCCCAAATCTGCTACTGCTTCTGCGTCGTTCCCTTCTGCGTTTTCTGCTTTGGTGTCGTCGTCTTTTTTTGATTTTCGATCCTCTTCTTCTACACCTTTTTTTTCCTTTTTCGTCCCTTTTTTTTTGGATTGTTTGATACTTCAACCTCCTCTACCACACAGATCTCAGGTATATATCTCCCTATAAATGCTCTATTAAAGCTCTGCCAGCTTACATGGTAACTGAGCCCACTCCAAAGTTTGTACCAGCTGAGAGCATGACCTCTCAACCCCTTCACAACTTCATTCAGCATATCAGCTTCTTAAATTTGGTTTGCTTGAAAATGTTGTTCAAGACCGATAAACCATCTCCAAGCTTTAATTCCATCTTCATCTCCATAAAATTCTAGAATAATTTTTTTTTATAGATCTAGATCAACGCTCCATGGATTTGAACCAGAAGCACTTTCAGGATTGTAGTGCTTTGATACCAAATTGATGGAACCCACTTTTATTAATATGAAATTGTAGAAAATATAAATAGAGATAAGCTCCTTACAAGCATAAAATGCAAAATATAAACCCAGAAATCTCAACTCCCAGAGATCCCCAATTTTCCCACAAGCCAATATTGAATTCATGCATAAAGAAAACACACCCTAAGTATCTATATATAACTAATTCCTAACTAATGGACTTGGATATTTTATTAAAGGCCCATCACAACTAAAGGTACACTTGTGAAGATAAAGGGCCACACAAAAGGTGTCGCCCGCATTGATGGTGGCAACAACATCTAAAGGCAGATGATTGCATCTTTATCTTTATCGTTATCCTTATCCCTAATACTCCTTCTCAAGTTGGAGGATGGAGGCAACAAATGCCCAACTTGTGAACTAGAATATCAAATTCTTAGGTGAACATACATAAATGTTTTTTATTTTATGTCCTTAATCATGGTAAAAGCTTCGTCACTAGCTTATGTTATATCTCTAACACATCCCTGCACGTCATTTCCTTCTGGGGCAATGTAGAGGTCCACCTACCTTATTCTGAAATTCAACTTTTCATTAGAAAAATGGGACCCAACCGTAGACTACTTGATCATAGAGGCTTTGATATAAATTAACTCTCTTAATAACTTAAACAATTAGGTGAAAACACATGAATGGTTTTTACTTTACATTTCTAACAAATATTGGGTTGTCCAAGATCGAGCCTTGGAGCAGCTGTAAGGTTTCTCCTTTGTGACCGAAAAGTCACGAGTTTGAATATAGGAAACAACCTCTTTTCAAAACAAAGCAAGGGTAAGACTGTATACAATTAATTCTCACCTCTACCATTGCAAAGTTGGGGAGCCTTGTGTACCGGGATTTGCCTTTATTGGGTTTCCCAATATCTCCTAATAAAAGTTTCAGTAAAAAGTAGTTGAACTTATGTATTGTTCACGCTTCAATCCCTAAAATGGGTCTTGGCGTGATGGGCCTGTGCATTGTTCATTATTCAAACTTAAGGAGCTTTTGGCGTGAAGGAACATGTTAGAGGTGTAATATAAAATCATTCATACATCTTCACCTAACATTTTTGGGTGAGTTAGTTCATGACATGATATCAAGGTCTCTATGATCAAGTGGTCCAGAGTTCGATTCTTGTCGCTTCAATTCTTCTAATAAAGAAATGAATTTAAGCACAAAATAGGTGAGCCTGAGCATTTTGCATACTTCATGCTCAAAGGGCTCTAAGTGAGAAGGTGTTTTAGAAATGTAATAGAAAAACCATTAACATGTCTTCACGTAGTAGTTTTAAGCTTTTGGGAGAGTTTGTTCATGAGAAGGGACTTCCCATTGAGAGATTTCAAGACTTCACTAGCACACTCGGAACGATATATATCCATTTACCAACTTGAGAGGGAGTGTTAGTAAATATAAAAAGAATAAATATGTAATCCATGTAGATTAGTTTTTCTCTTTGTTCCTTTTATAAAGAAGATTTGTGAAAGATTATGGAGTAGATTTGTTTATTTTTTGTTTCCCTAGAATTTGGTCTTTATTAGGAAAATAATTATTCATATCATTCTTTATATTGTATCACTTTGTACGTGAATAATGAAGTTCTAATATTCAGATTTAGAATTCCAAACTAACTAGTTATGTTTTTCCAGATGGTCCTGGCATTGAGAATTTTCAAATTTGTGGTGATGCTGTTCCTGGGGAAAAACTTCTTGGATGTGGATATCCAGTCCGTGGAACTTCTCTATGTATGTTTCAGGTGAAAAGTCTTTCCATTAATATTTAACATAGCGTATCATCCATGATTTTTTTCCAGCTCTCTTATTACTGATATCACCATCTTGGCTTCATGTCAGTGGGTTCGGCATCTTCAAGATGGCACTAGGCAGTACATTGAAGGTAGATTGACCTTTATTTCTGATCTTTTTCTTTTTTTTTCTTCTGTAATTTTGTGCTTGTTTGCTGAGTAGATTGGTCTGTTAGAAGTTCAACTCTTTGTTTTTCGGGTATGTTTTTCTTGGTTCAGGAGCCACAAATCCAGAATATGTAGTTACTGCTGACGATGTTGATAAATTGATAGCGGTTGAGTGTATTCCAATGGATGATAAAGGCCGTCAGGTTTGAAATAAATTAGTTATAGATGCATGGTCTGTCGTATATGTTGTGTACATTTTGTGATGTACTACTTGTAAATTATGGCCATATCTGCTGATGCTATACTTGCATTGCACAGAATTTTGTTATTTTAATTTGGGATTAGGATATGTTTGATAAAATTGAAAATGTCAGCAGTGCAAGTTCAACAGAATTATTATTTTAACTTGGGATATTTTTTATCTCCATGGGAAGACTGAGACTAGATAACTACCGAAGTTGTGCGAAGAAATCTGTTGGTTGTTGTGCTTACTTCCAGCCTATGTAATCATGTTAATGATCTTCGTAACTGTTAAATTAAGATATAATATAAATCATTCATGTGTCTTTCACTTAAAAATTAAGCTTTTGGGATAGTTGGTTCATGATATATATTGTATCTCTCATATATTATATTGTATCTAACAGGCCTCCTCAAATCAAAGCTTACTAAGCTTTAAGCTTGTTACAATATAGTTATGTCTTTGCACTGTCCATGTTTCAATCCCAAAGAGCTCTTGGCTTGAGGGAGAATGTTAAAGATATAATATAAAATTATTCATGTGCTTTCATCTAAAAGCTTAAGCTTTTGAGAGATTTGATTTATGACATATATTATGGGCCCGTTTGGTGATTAGGATAGAGAGGACGGGATAAGATAGACTATCAGATCCTATTCTTATCCATTGTTTGGTGAGAGTGAGACAATAGGATATGATAAGTTTATCCTGTCGATTTGATTTATCCTGTACGTAGCAGGATAAGCTATCCTAAGGGCGGACTTGGGTTAGGAATAGACATAATAGGATAACAAATATGACATTTTTCTCATTTCAAATATAGGCCTATGCTCTTCTCCTACGAACTTTGTTGGGCATGTGAGAGTCAGTCCTTGCCACTGATAAGCTACCGCCATTGCCTGCCATTGGCCACCTTTATCACCACTCGAACCACCAAACACCAAATACCACCGCCATAACTAGCCACCACCAACACCACCGATCAGCCCCACAACTGCCACGGTTCACCGTCGGCGCCACCACCACCATCGCGGTTGTCGCCACTAACCACCGCCACTGCCACAATTGTCTTAGTGTCGCCACCACCACCACTTTCACTAACCACCCCCACATGCTACCACCATCACCAACCAGACACTACCTCGAGCCACCGCCATCCTCAACCACCGGGCACCAACCATCACTGCCAACACTTGCCATCTCTGTCGCCATCATTAGTCAGCCATCACAATTATCACTGGCCAATGGCCATTACTCTCATCACCACCACCCCATTGTCAACATCCCCCACAACCGCCACCAACACCACCCACTATCATTAGCCACCGGCCACTAATATTGACAAATAATTTAAAGCAATTTTTAAAAATTTATTTGGTGAGGGTATATTTTTTTATTTTTTTTATTTTGTAAGTTATTTATGTATTTTAATATATTTAATTTCAAATTATGACTTTTAAATTTTTTGAATAATTTAAAATAAGAACTAATGTGTAAATAAAAAAAAATTAGCTTAAAAATTAATTTTAAAAATTCATATAAAATTATGTTAAAAGAGTATTTTTGTCTATTTATATTATATCACGACACTATATGGTTCGTCTCAAACACCAATAGGATAACGTTATACTATTAGACTGCTTATCTTGTGCACATCAAACACAATATAGGATATAAGCTTATCGGTCCCATATCCTACCCTACTTTAATCCGACCCTCTTATCATATTCATTTCTATCCTATCCTATCCGTCAAACAAGCCATATATCTCTAGTGGATGACCCAAGATTTTTTCTAGTGGGGGGCGAAATTTTTGCAAGCTGCCAAATAAATTTGCAAAAGTCAGTGTTAAAATATAAGAAGGCACCCTGATGCATACAACAAACAAGCCATAATATAAACTTATCGGTCCCATATCCTACCCTACTTTAATCCGACCCTCTTATCATATTCATTTCTATCCTATCCTATCCTATCCGTCAAACAAGCCATATATCTCTAGTGGATGACCCAAGATTTTTTCTAGTGGGGGGCGAAATTTTTGCAAGCTGCCAAATAAATTTGCAAAAGTCAGTGTTAAAATATAAGAAGGCACCCTGATGCATACAACAAATCAAGTTGCAAAATTAAGTATATGACTAAACTATCTATTTTTATGAGTTATGACTTATGACATTGTTAGAATATAATATAAACTATTAAAAAAGCCCTCATCCAGCAGCTTAAATTTTTGGGTTGAAATGATTCTTTACATGGTATCAGAGCTTCGGTGTCCTGGGTTCGATCCTCGCCGCCCCCCGTTTTCTTTGTGGAGTTTCTTAGCCCAGATAGGCGGGCTTGTGCATTGTCCACCCTTTAGCCCAATGGGCTCGTGTGAGGGGTGTATTAGAATATAATATAAACCATTAAAAAGGCCCTCACCCAGCAGCTTAAGCTTTTGGGTTGAAATGGTTCTTTACCGACATTAAACTCTTCAACTGGATATACCTCACATCTTGCACCAGGTTTGAGAAAGTTAATCACATACCCAACCATCCCAAATTTCAGTAACAATATACAGAGTAACTTAACAAAAAAAAAGGCTGGTTACATACCAGCAAAAGTTCATTTCCCTGAAAAGATGGGGAAAAACAATTTAAAAAAAAAAAAAAATTCAAAACTGCATTTTGGTCCAGTATTCACATCCCAACAAATCAAGAACATGTGAACTAGACTCGTGAATGCAAAAGCATAAAAATTTGACTTCAAACTTAATGGAAAATACAAAATCGTAAGAGGCCAAAAGAGCATAAAAACAGAGGAAATTGGTTTTTATGTAAAACTTGACTTCTTTTTTGTACACAGTAAAATTAATTTCAATAAAATTTCAAATTTGGCCAACCCAAAATGATTGAGCCAAGTTGCTAGAGGATCAATGTGAAAAAGAAAAAAAAGAAAAACCATCATTTGTTAACATCTCCTTGATTTTTACCAGCAACATAGCAGAGATTAAAAAAAAAAATACACTATCTGAAAAAAGGAAACAATTATTTGGAACTGAAGGGTTCAACTAATACCTTTTCACAACCCAAATCCTTCACAGATTTCTCCCCAGCTCCTTTTCAGACCCTGAAGCAACTTAAAGACTAGATCTCTTATGCTCCGAGAAACTTATTGGATGTGAAGCCATTGGAACACCCCAAGTTCAAACCCATTGTGGAAATCTGATCAATGTGAGATTTTGCATTCTGGGTTTTCTCAAATGCTCAAATGGGTGTTTGTTTTCAATCTGAAATGGAACTTCTGAGACCTACACCAACACACTTCCCTTCCCCCCTCCTCCCTAAGCAAGAAATCTTCCGACTACCTAATTTTTTTCCTTCAAATTTTAGGGGGGGCGGCCACCAACCCTAGTCCCCTGGTCCGCCTGTGTATCTCTAACATATTTATATTATATCTAGCAGTAACAAGTTGGTTGTGAATTGTGATTAAGATATAATCTCCAAATGGAGGGCTGAGTCTTAATAGTTTTGTATTGGGGGTAATCAATTTATATTATCTTTATAAACCTTTATGCATGCATATCCTTAAGTATAAGTTGGCTCAATTGATGTCAAAGCTTCATAAAATCATGTTACTTCTAACAGCATATTTGGTAGCATAAAATAAAATCGTAATATCTGTAAAGACAGTTCAATTTAATGTCGGTTTTAGACACTTTCACAAATGTAAATGACCTAAATTGAATAAAATAAAAGGAGTAAAATGAAATTCCTCTATAGGTCTACATTGTTTAATTTCCTGGTGTGCCCTTGATTTTTTCCATCGTCTTTTTGAGCATAAATCTAATAATTTGCTCCCTGAATTTCATTATTTATCATTCAAGATTCTATATATTTGAATTCAATTATATTCTTACACGAATATATGATTTAGAAAATGGAAAATATATCTCCTGTTCATAAGAATGTTTTTCCTTATTATTATTATTATTATTATTATTATTATTTTGTGTTAAATTTGTTCTCTTTGTCAGGGGGAGCTAGTGAGACTTTTTGCTAATGATCAGAACAAAATAAAATGTGGTAAGTTTATTTGCTGCTGAATCTTGAAGGCTGACTGTAATTGGACACTTTTATCTTCTATTTGATGCTAACATATATTATGATGGTGAAAATTAAATTGCTGCATCAAAACAGTGATTGTTGAAAAAATAAAAACATATTGGTTCGCTCGGATATATTAAAACTAAAAAAGTTTAATTGAGAATCAGCTGTGTACTTGTTTAAAATGTGAAGGAGACAATCCTAGGTCCAAATTTGCGTCTTGGAATAATATTGGGTCCACATCTACCATACATTTATGGAAAAAATATGCACTTCATCTAATAATTTTTCTCTGAAAAATACATGTAAAATATTAATAAATAAAAGAGAATTATGCAGACTACAGGCCGGGCATATATTCACCTAGGCCGTGGACTATTTTCAAAATAACCAAAATAATGGTTTTGTTCTGAAAAATCGGTAGCATATGTTGGATATGAATCCTGTGACCTCATTAGCTATCGTTTCTGGGAGATTATTTATTGTGGACCGGGACCACCATTTTTTAGGTGGTCCCTTAGTGTAAATAGGAGGGTAAAATTGGAAAAGAGGAAAAATAACAGGGATAAAAAGGAAAAGAAAAAATTAATGATGTGAGAGAGTGCACCAAAAGATTCAGTGGTCCTGGACCATATTAAATATTTCCCGTTCTTGGATACTTTACCAAATATCTTTTCGCCTCTTATTGCCAAAATCAAATTCTTCCTTCTCCTACAAGAAGTCACCTTATGGAAAAACTGAGTTGGCATCTTGTTCTCTTGCCCATTGAACTTGTGAGTTTTGCCTCTAGGAATAAATTATAGCTTTCCATCAAGACATGCTTGGAAGAAAATCATCTCTCTTATGAGAGTGAATGAAAACCTGATGGCAAATCTTACTGGCGTTATTAGAGGATGATATCAAAGTAGAGTCTACCAGCCTTTGTCTTGATATAATGTATCGGTCCTGCAAAAATATAACTTTCCCCAAAAGTAGAGATTTGGAAATCTGTGCAGGAACCTGTTGATGGGAGTGTGATGATGGATGGATAAGTCCAAGGCAAGGAAGGAAGCACATAATGGGGTATGCCCAATTCATAGTTGTTCTTAAAAGTAATTTCAGTAATTATCACCAACCTTTAGTACATGTAATGGAGACAAAGAAAAACATACCCTAGACAGATAAACTGTGAAAGACTCGCGAGTAAAACTAGATCGAAGTTTCTTGTATCATCCTAAGAAACTTCTATCATTCATGAGAATGCCGTACCTAATCCTGACTATCCTGTACCAATTACCAAAGATACTGTATAAGCCACTTGGGTCATAATCTCAGACAACAAACTTTCGTGATCCAAACTACACTCCATCTTTCAAAGTTTCACCTATAAAAACCTATATATATCATTAAATCTTAAAAGAGTATTTTGTAACCAGGAAAATAATTTCTCCTTGAAATTATCATTCTTTTCTTTTCACTTGACAGGTTAGACTTGGTTGCATTAACTATCAATATTATATATACGATAACTAAAACCATGTGAATTTTTCTGTAGGCATGTTTGGACGAACAACTTAGGCAATGTATTGTTTATATTCAGGCGTGTGTAGTGTAATATTTGTCTGTTTTATTATTTTTGTTTTTCCTCCTTTGTTCTTTTCTTATTATGGTTTTTTCTGTTGGCTGACTATAGACTCAGAAATGCAACATGAGATTGACACAAATCTTTCTAAAGGAGAAGCAACATTCAATGTACTACTTCTGGTAGGTTCTGGTTTTAGTTGGAAAATCCTTATATGCTCAGATTGTATTTAATGTGTTTATGTATAATCTGTTCTGGTTCATGGTGTACATTAAAAATTTTTTTGTTGGAGCAATAAAATATATCTCATGTACCGTCTGTAGTCATTTGTGACATAATGCAAACTCTTGAATATTGAATTAATAAGATATTACTTGTGCACTTAGAGCAACAGGAAAAGTTCCCTTGAAATTAACCAGAAAGTATAATTTTAGCTAGGTATTTAATACGTGAATAACTATAATTTCTTGTTAGATAAAGACATGAATAACTATTCAATAAGGTTAAGACTATTGAAGCCGGATTAGGAATGTGTTTACTCTAATATTAAAAAATCTAACACTACTAATGATATTTTTGATCTCTTTTCTGTTGCAACTTTTATACTTTATGAGATTGCTTTCCTTTGAGCTTATAATTGAGTTTTGATATATATATATATATGAAAAATGTGTATCATTTTAAAGGATGTAAAGTTGTGTCATTTTAAGTGAGAGAAAGAGATAAATCATGAGAGTGGACAAAAAAAATAAAGATGTGGGTCCCACCTCTTTGTGCGAGTGAAATGACACAAGTTGTGTCATTCAAAAGGACAAACACTTTTTCCTATATATATATATATATATATATATATATATATATTAGAGGAAATGAAGTATCATGTTGCAGTAAAAATAACTTTTGTCCTGCAGATACACAAAAAGTGCGGGACCCACTTGAAATAAAAGAAAAGAAAAAAAGAAAACGATTGACATTGCTTTCGATGGTGTCTGTGGGACAAAATTTGTGTTTCCTGTGACATGATACTTCATTTCCCCTATATATATATATATATTTGATTTAATGAATCTATATTTTTAATGTTTCCAGATTGTGTGTAGCTTGATTTATTAATGATGAAAAACCACTTAATATAAAACAGATCAGTTAGAGCTTTGATCACTTTTCAGCTTCTTGACCTCGAACGCTTTTCATTCCCTGCATTTTGCATCAGATGGCTACAATCATCTTTTTAATTCATGATTCTGAGCCCAAAATTTGTAGCTCTATGCCATGTTAGTGATTTGAAACTACTTTTTGTCCTCATTTTCAGCTTAATGATTTAAATTGCATGATTTGTTTTTACATAACATATCAAATCACTTTTTGATTTTTTGATTTTATTTTGATAGAAAAATAAAATTATCAAGAAAGAAGAGATTCGAAAAGAGGAGGGTAAGATATCCTCCACGAGAAAACTACTACAAGAACAAACTAAAAGAAACAGCAAATCTAACCTCAAGAATAACATAGCAGTGCACAATGGTTGCCCAATCTCTTTGCCAATGTTGAATGACAAACCCTCTAAAAGACCATGAGCCGAGCACCAAAGAGAAGCGAAAGACTTTCTTCTTTCGCACAGCCAGAACCAGTTGCACGACAAAATAGTGAACACAACACAACTTCACAAAGAGGTTAATTTTGATATGCTGTCAGTATAAAAAAGTTTGAAACTGTCATCCAAATGTGATGTCATGTCATTAAATACATCTCGTGTTATTGAACTCATTAAATGAAGTGGAAACACATCATTAGATCCTAGCATAAAACTTACACTGACCAAAAAAAATACTCCCCCTTAAACCAAAACAAGCAATGGAAGGGATGGGGCTATCCTTGTATGTATCCTTACCTTTGCATATTGACAAAGAGTTTGTTTTTCAGAATCAAACTCCTGACCCTTAACTCAAAAAGGAGCAACTTTCCCACTATTCCAGGTCCACCGTCTTAAAAAACTTACACTGACAATGCATTAAAAGTAAATTCTTTAACAAAATCTTGACCTCATTTCTTCTATTCAATTTTTAAATTCTAATTTAGTTCAATATCATTTCTTATGTGTACATAATATACTCTGTTCCTCATTCAATGGAATATGCATCCTCACATTTCCTGGTTATTTCTGACAGATGGATTCTTCTGATAACTGGGAACAAGCAACATTATTCCTGAGACGATCAGGATGCCAAATTAAGATTAATGTTACTGAAGATGTGGTAGTTTCTGAGAAATTCTCAAAGGACTTGTCGGTATGTCATTCAAACTTCTCTTATACATATTACTGTCATATCATAAGGGCTATTAGTGTATGAATTACCAAAAATAAATGTATCAACCATTTATACTGCTTTCCTAGTAAACTTGTTCAATCATACAATGACTTCATAAGCAAACAAACATGATTGGAATATCTAGGATGAAAATCGCTTGCCTGACTCAATAAATCTGCTCCTCTAGCTCTCTAAGTAAGAATGTTGTCTTCAACTCTAGCTACTCAAGCTCTACATCATTAAGAGAAATTATGGCAAGTAACAAGTTCCCATGTTGGATTTCTGCAAAGAGAATCAATCTCTTCGCACTTGCACCATTCCACTAATCTGCATCTGGACATTAAATAACTTAAAGCACTAGGCCCAATGAGCTCATTCACATCCCAAGATCACGATGCCCTGCTACCGATAATGCCTGAGCAACTAGATCTGCATACTCATTATCTCTGAGGTATTCAAATCTGCCTCCTTTGCCTATCATTTGCTAAAGCCACACCCACTTGCTTTGCTTTTTTCAGAAACTTCCTTATAGCATCTACCTTGTTCAACTTGTTTGCATGGCTTCCAGTTTGCTGGTCTTTCTTGTATCTTCAAGCATGTTTCTCTAGTGTGATTGGAACGTTGACTATGATCACACCAACTTTTGTGATTGGTTTCCATGTTGTTCAGCATATTGATGTGGTTCATTTTTCTCTGTGATAAGGGCGGAATTGTGAGGAGGGTTTTCTGATCTGTATTCTTAACTCCTCCCAACATGACAGCTTTCTGCTCTCTTCCCTTACATCTGTGAAGGCTTCTCTGACATTTGGGAAGGGTTTTGTTCTCAACAGTCAACCTCTACATCTGACATCTTTTTCTCAAGCGTTTGATTATATTTCTGGCTGTCTTTGCCACTGTGCCACTCTGTCTCATAAAATACATCCATCTTCATATCCCAGATTTCTTTTGCTTTCTTGTAGAACATATTGGTCCATGGAATTGGTCAACCACACCATTACCATGGAGATTTTTGATTCTCAAATTGAGTAGCCAGCTTCTCCTACCTTTGGTGCTTTTATTGGTCCCATGAGGTAGTCTAGCTTACGTTGCCTTGGATCACAAGGGTAACAGATTTGAACTATTCCAGAAAATTGGTCCAATGGAGTTTGTGATGGGTTATTTGGAGAGAATGGGAATGAGAAATATGAACCATGGATGGTTAAGAAATTTCTTTGGGTTGAGAGGATACCCCTCAATGACCCTTCTATGGCTGCTTCATCAGCCATGGCTGTAGACTAGTATGAGAGAGGTTGATGCTCTGATACCATGTAATCAAAATTATTAAATGTGGATCACGGCCTATTGCAGCCAACCTTGAAAAATGCTATAGCACTATAGCTGGTTGGGGTTTAGGAAATAGCGGAATGGATGAATAGAACCTAGATATACCACACATATATATGCTCAAAATTAAGACAATAATTAATAATTAAGAAGGCTACCTAAACTCCTCACACTTCATCACTTTTCCACTTCCCAAAAATAACCCAGTACCCACAAAACAAGGCTACTAAAAGCAATGCCCAGAAACAAAGGCAAGCAAAAAAAATAGATGCCAGAAAAAAAAAGTAGTGACAAGAAAAAAAAAAGAGACCAGAAAAAAAAAGAGAGACAGAAAGCTTATCTGTTGAGAGTGCAAGGCAGCCACAGAGCGAGGAAGGCAAAGAGCAATGGAGGAAATGGGATGTGCAAGAGACAGAGAGGAGAGCAGAGGAGAAGGTGAGAGACGTATCCTTGGGTCATTCGGTGAGAGTAACAGAGGGAGTGAGAGGGTGGGATAATATTAAACACCAAAAAGACTAAAATATCCTCATTAGCTTTTTTGTTGCACATTTAAGTTAAGTGCAACATGGTATTTTGCCTCATATCTGCAATTCAGGCATGATTTTGCCGCAATGGACATGGACGCTATTGCGTTTCGGCTTGGCGTGGCTCGGTTTCTCGAAGCCAGCCTCCGCAACACGGGAAATGGCGCACCTCGCACTGTTTTTGCGCCGTGATTAACTACTGATGTAATAGAGAAGAAATTTTATTCTGAGATAAAAAATTTATGTTAACTGGTCTTGAATAAATACATAATATACTTCCTAAATAACTCCCTAAAATTAAGGACCTAATGATCAATTAAGTCAAAACAGATATAAAAGCTAATAATAAGGAAATATCAAGAACAAATTAGAAAAAGGAAGAAAGAACAGTTCCTATACTAACTCCTGTTAGTTAATAATGTGATCTGTCTATGAGCTGTCAACCACTCTGACATTGATGTGGACAACCTATGTAGCACCGACACGACACGCGACTCGTGACACGACACGATACGACACTTCGACACGTCAATCCTAAAAAAATATGGATTTAGACACGTTGGGACACGTTTTAATATAATTGAATCTGAAATATATTGTATATTCAAGTGTATAAGTTTGTACAAGGAGGCTCTCTATTTATAGAGACTAAAAAGACCTAATGGGATGACCTAATGGGCCAAGCCCACAATCTAGACTATTCTAGACTATTCTAATAATAATAAAATAATATTATTTCTAACACTCCCCCTCAAGCTGGTGCGTATATATCAAAAGCTCCCAGCTTGTTACAAATATGATCTATTCGGGGACCTCTAAGAGCTTTAGTGAATACATCCGCAAGTTGATCATTGGAATTGACAAATGTTGTCTCGATCTCCCTTGACTGGATCTTTTCTCTAACAAAATGACAGTCAATTTCTATATGCTTGGTCCTCTCATGAAAGACTGGGTTAGAGGATATATGCAAAGCGGCTTGGTTGTCACAAATGAGCTTCATAGGCCTTTGTTCACAGAGATGGAGTTCCTTCAGCAATTGTCTCAGCCAGATGAGCTCACAGGTTGCATTTGCCATTGCCCGATATTCTGCCTCCGCACTGGATCTGGCGACCACAGTTTGCTTCTTACTCTTCCAAGAGATCAAATTTCCTCCGAAAAGAACACAATACCCTGAGGTGGATCGTCTATCTGAAGGAGAACCTGCCCAGTCAGCATCTGAATAACTAGAGATCTCTGAACTCCCTTTATTTGTATATAATAAACCTCTTCCTGGCGCCTTTTTAATATATCGAAGAATTCTAATAACTGCATCCCAATGGGAGTCACAGGGAGAATCAAGAAATTGACTTGCAACACTCACTGCGAAGGAGATATCTGGCCTTGTCACAGTAAGATAATTCAATTTTCCAACTAGTCGGCGGTAGCGACTAGGATCTGGCAGTGGCTCCCCCTGTCCTGGTAATAACTTAACATTGGGGTCCATAGGTGTATCAATGGGTTTACAGCCTAACATTCCAGTCTCATCTAGGATATCCAGTGCATACTTCCTCTGACAGATGGAAATGCCCCGCCTAGACTGTGCAACTTCGATCCCCAAGAAATATCGAAGTCTGCCAAGATCTTTGGTTTGAAATTGGTTGAATAAATGCTCTTTCAACTGATCAATCCCGATCTGATCACTGCCTGTAATGATAATGTCATCAACATAGACCAGGAGATAAACGCACTGGCCAGAAGAGCTGTGCCGGTAAAAGACAGAATGATCGGCTTTGCTTCTGATTAAGCCAAAGGATTCAACAACTGAACTAAAGCGGCTAAACCAGGCCCGAGGAGATTGCTTCAGGCCATATAAAGATTTCTGAAGTTTACATATCATTCCAGAATTCTCCCCCTGAGCAACAAAACCTGGTGGTTGCTCCATATAAACTTCTTCCTGCAAGTCACCATGTAGAAAAGAATTCTTAATATCAAGTTGGAGAAGAGGCCAGTGATGAATGGCGGCAAGGGCAAGAAACAGGCGAACAAAAGCCATCTTAGCAACAGGAGAAAAGGTATCCCCATAATCAAGACCAAAGATCTGTGTATATCCCTTGGCCACTAAGCGAGCTTTAAGGCGATCAACAGTGCCATCAGGACCAACTTTAACTGTGAACACCCATCGACAACCAACAACAGACTTCCCGGGAGGAGCACGAACAAGATCCCAAGTGCCATTAGAGTGAAGTGCCTGCATTTCATCAAGCATCGCCTGGCGCCACCCTGGATGAGATAGTGCTTCACCTGTGGTTTTAGGGATGGAAACAGAAGAGATACTAGAAACAAAAGTAAAATGTTGTGAAGAAAGTCTGTCATAACTCAAGAAAGAATAAAGGAGATGAGGATTTCGAGTGGATCGAATACCTTTCCGAAGGGCAATGGGAGGAGTCTCTGATGGAGGATCCGGAGGAGAAGAGCCGACGGGAAAAGGCGATGAGTCATCAAGAGGCAAAGTCGGAGGAGGTGCAGGCTGACGACGCTGGTATGTGAGGAGAGGACGATCTGCAGGTATGGAGGTAATTGGTTGCTCCTCTGGAATAGGGGCACCTGCAGCTGGTAAAGACAAGTCAAGAAAAGGAACAGGAAGGACCTGATCAACTTGTGACACTGGAGACGGAGTAGAGTGAAAAGGCTGCTGATCAAGGAAAGTGACATCAGCAGAAACGATATAACGCTTGAGATCAGGTGAATAGCAACGATACCCTTTTTGAAAACGGGTATACCCAAGGAAAATACATTTGAAGGCCTTGGATGTCAACTTGTCTTTACCTGGAGTAAGATCATGAACAAAACAAGTACAGCCAAAAATATGTAAAGGCAGAGGATAAGAAGGTGCTCTGGAAAACAAAATACTGCGGGGAACATCATTATTTAGCACAGAAGAGGGCATGCGGTTGATAAGGAAACATGAGGTGATAATAGCATCTGCCCAAAAACGAAGTGGGACGTTCATATGAATGAGAAGAGTACGTGCAGTTTCAACTAGATGTCTATTTTTACGTTCAGCGACTCCATTTTGTTGTGGAGTGTGGGGACAAGTAGTCTGGTGTATCGTCCCATGTGTATCCAAAAATTTAGAAAATTCAAGAGACACATACTCTTTTGCATTATCACTGCGCAAGATTTGAATAGAAGCACCAAATTGAGTTTTTATTTCTGCACAAAACTTTTGATAAATTGAAAATAACTCAGAACGATTTTTCATTAAATAAACCCAAGTGCAACGGGACAAATCATCAATAAAGGTTACAAAATACTGAAAACCCAAAACTGACATAGTCCGACTCGGACCCCAAATATCAGAATGAACAATAGAAAAGGGAGCAGCAGCTCTTTTATTGACTCTACTAGCAAAGGAAGAACGAGTATGCTTTCCCTGCTGACAAGACTGACAATTCAAAGACTTAAGACCTAACAAAAAAGGAACCATATGCTGAAGCTTCGAGAGACTTGGATGACCCAGACGGCTATGGAGAAGCTCAGGAGACTCTGTGAGAGAGCATGCAACTGGAGCAGAGGGTGCATGCAGATAGTAGAGACCTCGTGACTCACCGCCCGCTCCAATCGTCTTCCCCGTACTCGGATCCTGCATAGAAAAAGACTGTTTAGAAAATGTGATAGAGCAAGAAAGAGAATGGGTCAATTGACTAACAGAAATTAAATTAAAAGGAATGCCAGGGATGTAATAAACAGAGGTTAAAGTCAAGAAAGGAGTTGGTTTGGCTTGCCCAATGCCACGAGCAGGAGCCTTGGTGCCATCAGCAAGAGTAACAGAGGGAAGATTATTAGAAAAGGTAAGGGAAGTAAAAAGATCCTTATTACCACAAAGATGATCAGTAGCACCTGAGTCTATTATCCAGGGTCCAAGAGACGATTGAGAAAAACAAGCAACATGATTACCAGTATCTGGAGCAGGTGGCTGAGAAGAACTCTTCTGGAGAAGGGCCTCATAGTCTGCAGCGGAAATAGTCACTGATCCGGTAGAGGGCGGCACAACATCTGTTTGAGCAAAGTTCATATGTGGTGGCTTCAAGTGAGGGTACTTTCTATAACAACGTTCTTCAATGTGGCCCAGATATTGGCAATAATTACACCGAGGCCTTTGTCCTCGGCCACCCTGTCCATACGACATCGTCTGTCCGCGCCTGCCTGGGCCATATGAAGTCATGGGCCCGCGACCGCCTTGTCCGCGGCCACGACCACGACCGCGACCACCATTGTTCCAATTACCACGAGAGACTAAAGCAGCAGAATCAGACAAGAGAGCAGTAGAGTCAGTAGCTGTGACGTGTGCGGGAGCCACCTTATCTTGAAGATTCAGAAGGCGCTGAAAGGTCTGGGATATGCTGGGAATCGCAGTACTGGTTAGAATGTTCTCACGAACACTTTCTAATCCGTCAGGGAGACCAGAGAGAGTCACAACCGTAAAGAGACGCTCCACTTGCGTCCTGTACACTGTAGCATCCGCAGCATGAGGTAACATAGCCAAAAATTCCTGCATCAAAGAACGAATCTTACCAACATAAACTTCCATACGAGCTTCGGGTGATTTGCGCAAATCCATCATCTGGGAGACAATGGAATAAAGTTGTTGAATATCATTGGTGTAGAGGTTTTTGGCTTCCGTCCACACATCATAGCAGGTCTCAAAAGGAATGAAAATATTGAGAAGAGATGAATCAATGGATTGCCAAAGAATACTGAGGAGCCGAGCATCAACTATCTCCCATTCAGTCATCTGATCTTGGGAAATATCAGTCTTCTTAGTGGTGAGATGTTTGTCATGGCCTTGACCGGTAAACCAGATCTTAACGGAGGTAGACCAGCTCTTGTAAGTGGCAGATCCGGTCAATTTCAGAGTTGTGATAGATGGAATAACACTTGAAATGATGCCGGAAGAATGTTTACTGGTTCCTTCCATCAGGAACAGCGATCAGACAACCAAAAAACTGTAAAAATGACGCGAAAAAGGAACAAAGTAGCGACTTTTGCACTAGAAACCCTCGAACGGAAGAGACCCACAACGATCGGTCACTGGATCTGGAAGGAGGAGGCAGAGGCGAGCCTGTCTGCCTTGGTTTGGTCGGAAAAGGTGGCCGGAACAGTGCACACGCGCCGGAGAGAGATGGCGCGTGAGGCCCACGCGTAGACAGCTGTGGTGGCGCGTGGAGGCGCGTGCTGCGGCCGTTTGGGACGGGTCTTGGACAGAAATGGTCGCCGGCGTGAGGGGATCCTGATCGCGTGGTTTCTCGCCGGAAAGGTGGCCGGAACAGTGATGAACAGTGACGGAACAGTGTTTCTTGCGATGTGAACAGTGTTTTCTGGTCAAATTGTTGAGATATATAGTCCCACATTGGTTGTATGTGCAACTAATGTGGAGTTTATAAGGTCTTGGGCACTCTCACCCTTTGAGCTAGTTTTTGGGGTAGTGTATCCCAAGGTTCTTAACATGGTATCAGAGCTTGATTCTCACCGCCTCCCGCTTTCAAGTGGAATTAAAAATAAAAAAGGTAAACCAAAAATTGGGCCTGTGCAATTTCCACGCTTCAAGCCTTAAAGGGCTCTTGTGTGAGGGGGCGTGTTGAGATATATAGTCTCACATTGGTTGTATGTGCAACTAATGTGGAGTTTATAAGGTCTTGGGCACTCTCACCCTTTGAGCTAGTTTTTGGGGTAGTGTATCCCAAGGTTCTTAACACAAATAATGAAGGAGGATGACGATCTGAGATCGAAAAAGGGTCTAACAATGTTCGGAGGGTTGAAAAAGGTTGCCGGTATGATGCACGGCGGTAAAAAGGTTTGCCGGTATGATGCACGGCAGTACAACGAAAGGAAAAAAAATATATATGCGGAAGCAGAGCCCTCAGATCGAGAGCTCTGATACCAAATTGAATCTGAAATATATTGTATATTCAAGTGTATAAGTCTGTACAAGGAGGCTCTCTATTTATAGAGACTAAAAAGACCTAATGGGATGACCTAATGGGCCAAGCCCACAATCTAGACTATTCTAGACTATTCTAATAATAATAAAATAATATTATTTCTAACAAATATTAAATAATATTTTTAATTTATATAGTGTATATTTCATTTAATAACAAAAATATGAAACTAAATTAATAATACCTATCAACATGTTATCTTTCAACTTTCCTTTCCAAACCAAAACCACATAAGAAAAATTGGTTCTAAGTCGGAATCCAAGATGTTACATAAAGGGAGAAAAAAAAAATCTGATGTAACCAATGACAACAATAGCAAAAAATTCACCCACATCCAATACCAAGAATCGTAGCAACGTTCTTCACAAAAGGCAAAAACATAAACTAAAAGAAAAGGATCCAAATCTAAAATTATTTACTAAATACACTGTAAAATAAAAGAACATCAAGAACACAATCAAACGTTATAAAGATGGAAGCTTTAATAAAAAACAGGAACTGGGATGAGAGAGAGAGAGAGATCATATCAGAGAGAGAGGGAGATCAAATCAGATTAGAGAAAGAAATCAGAGAGAAGGAAACATAACGAGCGTAATAGGAATGACAACGATGGTGTTGAGATGATCTATTATCTACTTAAGGGGAAAAAAAGAAAAAAAATTGATATGATCATGTGGAAGCTTTATTAATATATTTTGCAAAGTTATCAAATGCGGATTGCGGCATGTCGCGGCCAACCCCAAAAAACGCTATAGCGTTATAGCGGGTTGCGGTTGCGGAAATAGCGGAATAGATATATGATAGAAATAATGAAAAAAAAAAACATTTTTTAAAAGCAGAGATAGCAGAAGTGACAAAGAGAGACACAGATAGACTAAAAAATCCTTAAAAAATTTTTGTTACACATTTAAATTTAGGACAAAATTGACATTTTGCCTTATGATAGCAATATGGCCGCAATTTGCGATTGCAGTGGCCGCTGTTGCGTTTTGACGCGGCGCGGAGCGATTTCTTGCGGTGAGGCACCGCAACGCCCATACGGCGCGGCTCGCGGCGCTATTGCGGCGCAATTAACTACTATGATATTTTGATTTTTTTTAAAAAAATATAATATTTTACGAAAATACCATTTGACCGTGTCGGACACAGTCAAATTCGCGTGTCGAAATGGTCAATGTGTCGGGAATGTTAATCGTGTGTCGGACACGACACTCCCTGTCTTTTGGAGTGTCCGTGCTTCCTAGCTCTTGACTAACTATTTCCTCTTCCCTCAAATTCTTCAATATCTAGAGGGGCATGCTAACCTTCTCACCTTTGCGTGGAGGACTAGAGGTTCTCATTCTCTCTTGTAATTGGACAGAAGGATTCTGTTTTTTTGAAAAAAAAAAATTTGCTGTTTATAAGGTTATTGTATTGATCGAAGCTATAGGTAATATCTTGGGTGCAAAACATTCATGAAATGTTTGCTTAAATATCTATTAAATTATTGTTTGTGAAATAGTTTACATGTACATATATTCAGAGATTGGTGCATTATATCATTCAGATAACATCACATTTTTCTGAGTTGTAAATTCTTCAGCTAGTTTTTATTTCTTCTTTATTAAGAGTTACATCAGACTTACTTTTATGGATTTTCCACAGATTAAAGTTCCATGTGGTCTCTCAGCACAATTTGTGTTAACATGCTCAAATGGATCATCTCATCCTCTAAGCACATATAGTGTCCGGTAATAACGTTGGCTGCGTTTCACTTTCATGTTGAATGCATACTAATTAATTGTTGTATTCTTTTAATTCATTTCCAAAAAATGGTTTTTAGTATTGGCATATGATGCTGGTAAAATATTGTTGGTCACACTCCAAAAATACCCATTTTGATGCCTGACTAGCATTTAGCATCCAGTTTGAGTCATATTAGGAAAAATGTTAGTCATTACTATAATATATTGAAAAAAAAAAGAAAAAGAAGAAAGAAAATACGTCCCTGAATTATATCTCCGTTATTATGTAATGTGAAATATATTCATAGTTCTCTTTCCTTCTTTCTAGCTCCTCATGAAGCTGATGGTTCTTTTACTCAGTATATAATTTGTTCCAAAGTTAATTTGCTTTCATCCTTTGATATGTGTTCTGCTAAGTGATTGAAACATTGAATTTCTTGCTTATAAAATTTGATTTAAATTTCCTATAAAAGTATTGTAATTCTGAATGATACTCTCTTCTACAAAGATGATTAATAGTGCACATTACCCTTTTCTTTGTAGAATGCGAGACACACTTGTGTTAACCATGCGAATCTTCCAGAGTAAGGTATTCTATCTATTACTATCAATTGGTTGTACATTAGTGGTAATGACAAATAAATGTAATCCTAATATTGTAGACGGTGGTTGTAATAATGTAAGAAAGTGGGAATCCTAATAGTGAATTCAAATTATTGTTCTTTTGAAGAAACTAGCCATTTCATACAAGAGTATTATCTCATGCAAAATATTGGCGCTACAAGAAAAATTGAATTTTTTAGCTTACCTGCAAATTCATCTTCAACAAACAACAACCAACAACAAAGCCTTATTACTCAATTGGTCTCTCTAACTCTATAAAAAATCAAATTTTTAGTAATATAAGTTAGAGCATGGTCCTTTCTAGTTGTTTCTTTTATAAAACTTAGGTTTTCATCTACCTCTCTTAATCAGGATATCTTCCTCTTAATCCACTTTTCTCACAGGAACCTATGTTGGTCTAATTGTTTCTCCAATGGGGTCAAATGATCCATGTGTAACTAACTCTATCTAGTAGTATAAGGCTTAGTTTTTAGTAATATAAGTTAGAGCATGGTCCTTTCTAGTTGTTTCTTTTATAAAACTTAGGTTTTCATCTACCTCTCTTAATCAGGATATCTTCCTCTTAATCCACTTTTCTCACAGGAACCTATGTTGGTCTAATTGTTTCTCCAATGGGGTCAAATGATCCATGTGTAACTAACTCTATCTAGTAGTATAAGGCTTAGTTTTTAGTAATATAAGTTAAAGCATGGTCCTTTCTAGTTGTTTCTTTTATAAAACTTAGGTTTTCATCTACCTCTCTTAATCAGGATATCTTCCTCTTAATCCACTTTTCTCACAGGAACCTATGTTGGTCTAATTGTTTCTCCAATGGGGTCAATTGATCCATGTGTAACTAACTCTATCTAGTAGTATAATGCTTGGTTTTTAGTAATATAAGTTAGAGCATGGTCCTTTCTAGTTGTTTATTTTATAAAACTTAGGTTTTCATCTACCTCTCTTAATCAGGATATCTTCCTTTTAATCCACTTTTCTCACTGGAACCTATGTTGGTCTAATTGTTTCTCCAATTGGGTCAATTGATCCATGTGTAACTAACTCTATCTAGTAGTATAAGGCTTGGTTTTTTTTATTATTATTATGATTATATTATTCAGAGTTTGGAGACTATGCTTTGTATACTGTTCTTTCACAGAATACCTTGCCTACAAAATGCTATGAGATCACACAAAAAATAGTAGTATTAGGTTCTGATGAAATATAAGACTGAAATGTATTTTTTCATATATTGATTGACACCCAAAGGGATCTTTATATACAGATTACAAGGTAGTTAAGGAGTTGAAGTAATAAATAAAATACACAGTAACCGAAGAGGCATCACACTACTCAAAGGAACAAGTAGCTAGAAACAAGTAGAAAACTCTAGAATATTCTACACTCCCCCTCAAGTTGGGAGATATATATTGATCATCCCCAACTTGCTAATTAAATCCTCAAAGATGGGTTTGTGTAATCCTTTGGTGAGAATGTCGGCTGTTTGTTCCTTGGTAGGTATATATGACAAACATACACTACCCTCCTCCAATTTTTCTTTGATAAAATGACGATCAACCTCCACATGTTTGGTTCTGTCATGATGTACAGGATTTTGAGCAATACTGACTGCAGCCTTATTATCACAATAGAGTCTCACAGGTAGAGAATAAGATATCTTTAATTCTCCAAGGAGCCTTCTTAACCAGATTCCTTCACAAATGCCATGGGCTAGCGCCCGAAATTCTGCTTCTGCACTGCTTCTGGCAACAACAGTTTGTTTCTTACTTCTCTAGGTCACAAGATTTCCCCAGACATAGGTACAATATCCTGAAGTGGATCTTCGGTCCATAGCAGAGCCAACCCAATCAGCATCTGTATAGATTTCTATCATCCTCTTGTGTCCCCTTTTAAAGAGCATTCCTTGACCAGGGGTGTTTTTGAGGTACTTGAGGATTCTATAAACAGCACTAAGGTGTTTTTCCTTAGGAGAATGCATGAATTGGCTAACCATGCTAACTGCAAATGCAATATCAGGCCGAGTGTGAGATAAGTAGATCAGCTTCCCTACCAACCTTTGGTATTGCTCCCTGTCAACATCTTTTCCATCTTCAATTCCCAATTTAATATTGGGTTCAACTGGAGTTTCTGCAGGCTTGCACCCAAGCATACCTGTTTCTTGTAGCAGGTCTAGAATATATTTCTTCTGAGATAAGGAAATTCCCGCCTTGCTACGAGCAACTTCCATTCCAAGGAAATATTTGAGAGATCCAAGATCCTTTAGTTCAAACTGACTAGCTAAACCCCCCTTTTAAAGATTTTATTTCTTCCCAGTCATCACCTGTGACAATTATGTCGTCAACATAAACAATGAGGATAGCAATTTTGCCACTATCGGAGTGTTTAAAAAATAAAGTGTGATCAGTCTGAGCTTGGATAAATCCTCTTTCTTTAACAACACGAGTAAACTTTTCAAACCACTCTCTAGGGGATTGTTTAAGTCCATAAAGAGATTTCTTCAACATGCATACAGAACCATCTCCCTGTTCAAAACCAGGTGGTGGATCCATGTAAACTTCCTCATGTAAGTCCCCATTTAAGAAAGCGTTCTTTACGTCCAATTGATGCAAGGGCCAATCAAGGTTGGCAGCAAGTGATAGTAAGACTCGGATAGAGTTAAGTTTGGCAACGGGAGCGAACGTTTCCTGATAGTCTATCCCATAAGTCTGAGTAAATCCTTTGGCAACCAATCTGGCCTTATATTTGTTGATGCTGTTATCTGCATTAAATTTTATTGTGAACACCCATTTGCAACCTACAGTTTTCTTTCCTCTGGGAAGTGCCACGGACTCCCAAGTTCCATTTTTTTTAAGAGCATCCATTTCTTCAAAGACTGCATCCCTCCATTTAGGGTCATTAAGTGCCTCTTGGATATTTTTTGGTATTTTTGTACCGTCTAATATAGTGTTGAAAGCACGAAAACCTGGAGATAACTTTTCATATGAAATGTGATGAGAAATAGGATGAGCAGTGCAAGATCTAGTACCTTTTCGAAGGGTAATGGGCACATCTAGGTCAGCTTTACCAGTGTTCTCAAGTGGATTGCTGGAACTAGGACTCAGGTCAGAATCCTGGCAGTCTAGAGGATCTTGAGGAGATTTTCGCCTGCTGTAGAATTTTCCCAATTTACCGGGAGGATCTCCAGTCTCTGGTACAATTGTTGTCCTTGTCTCCTGTACATTAACTCCCCCTGACTCCAAAGGTAAAGAAACAACAGATGTTTCCAAGGGTAAAGGTAAGACAGTAGAATTATTTGGATTCCAAGACTTGTCTTCATTTATACCAATAGACTCCCCCTGAAGAGAAGTCGAGGGAAAAAATGATTGTGTTTCACAAAAAGTAACATCCATAGAAACAAAGACCTTTCGAAGAGAAGGTGAGTAGCACTTGTAACCTTTTTGATTAGGAGGATATCCTATGAAGACACATTTAACAGACTTATGATCAAGTTTGGACCTTTGATGTGGTGGAATATGAACAAAAACCACGCAGCCAAACAACTTTGGAGGAAGGGAAGAGAGAGCCCGAAAGGAGGGAAAAGAGTGGGTAAGGCAAGATATGGGAGAATGAAAATTCAGGACGCGAGAGGGCATCCGATTGATGAGATATGAGGCAGTCAAGACAGCCTCCCCCCACAGGTAATGCAGTCTTTTCAAGAAGGAGGGATGCAGTCTTTTGAAGATAAAAGAAATTTGGGTGTCCTAAACGACGATGCCACAACAAAACATCATTACAATCGTCTGATAAACATAAAGAGTGATTTGCAAAAAATCTCTTTTCATGAGAATCTTCTTCAAAATAGTAAAGCCCTTCTTCCTCTCTAGCACTGCCAATCATCAGCCCTGAATCCTGTTCTTGAAAAACACAGGTTTTGGCAGAGAATTTAGCAACACAATGCAATTCAGAGGAAAGTTTACTAATAGAGATAAGGTTACAAGTAAGAGAAGGGACATGAAGGACAGAATTCAGAGTAATATGTTCAGAGAGCTTAATGGATCCCTTTCCCGCAATATTAGAGAAACTACCATCAGCCGTCCTTATTCGTGACTGGTGATAATAAGGGGTATAAGAACAAAACAGGGATGCATTACCTGTCATATGATCAGAAGCTCCCGAATCAAGAATCCAACGACTACTATGATCAACATGGAATGCCATACCTTGTTGAGCAACATGACTAGTTGCCTCAGCAGATTGAGACATCACCTTCTGAAATTGCTCATAATTCTTACCGTTTAAACGGTGGTTAGTAATCTGTATAGCTGGGTTGTCTCCGGAAGACGAAGAACAGGGAAGAGGAAAGACACCGGAAACATTACCGGATGATTTTTCAGGATGCTTATTCTCAGCCTCAATATTTTCAACTTCCATTGTTCAAAATAAAAAAAATAAAAAAAAAAAACAAAAAAGGAACTCCAATCGTTCAGAACTGAAAAATCACGAAGAGGAAACTGGACCCAATAAGAAGAGTGCTCCAATCGTGATTTAAACCCCCAGAACAGGAAGAGGAAGGCCAGGTGAGCCGTTCTGTGAAAGCCGCGTGACAAACGGAGGCCGGCAGGACGGCGCGTGGCTCACACGCGCCGGAGAGGCAGTTCTGCAGTGGCGGCGCGTGGCTGACTTTCCGGCGACGGGGCTGACGTGGGTCGACTCGGAAATGGCTTCTGAGTCCAATGGTGGCCTTGGTTTCGTGATTGGAGGGGTCTAGATATGGTTTCTGAGTTATTTTAATAAACAGTGAAAAATGGAAAACGGAAGGAAACGTGAAGGTTTACAAGATGACCACAGGATAACCTGCTCTGATACCATGATGAAATATAAGACTGAAATGTATTTTTTCATATATTGATTGACACCCAAAGGGATCTTTATATACAGATTACAAGGTAGTTAAGGAGTTGAAGTAATAAATAAAATACACAGTAACCGAAGAGGCATCACACTACTCAAAGGAACAAGTAGCTAGAAACAAGTAGAAAATTCTAGAATATTCTACAGGTTCCCATGATAGGAGCAAAATATAATTATTTGCACAGTTTTGTGTATACCCTTTGTAACCTTCATGTGATCATTTAAATATGTCATTTTTTCCACATAATGACTATTTGTTTAGTCAGTTTTAACGTAAAGAACATGTATTTCGGCATGCATGGTGATATGTTCTTGCCGTTGACTAAATTGGAGCATCGACTCCATGGCCTGCAATTACCAATTTATTGTAATAGAATTACTTAGATACTACTTTTTTTGTATTTTGTTTTTTTTTTAATTTAAACAACATCAATCTGTTACAAGTCCAAATGTCTTTCTTTTTTTCCTTTTCTTCTTTTTTGGTTTTGTTTTTGGATTTCTGTTTACCCTTGTCGGTGACTGCACATTTAGTTTTTCTTATTATTTTTATCATGTTTGTTCTTGACATGTTCTCTACTAAAGTACTTTTTAATCAATGTAAGATGGTTTGCTATCAGTTTCTCTAATAAAGAATTTCTTCTGTTTGGACCTTGCTATGGGGGACACAGGCATTGGATGACAAAAGGAAAGGGAGAGCCTAACCTCAGATCTTACACTTTTGTATGGAAGAAAATACAAAATAGGAAGCAGATGAAGAAAAATTTATAGTCCCATTTAGTCATTGGTTTTTTTTTTTTTTTATGTTAGGTAAACAATTATTGGTTTCTTTTAATTATAAGATATTTGAAACCTCACTTGTTTATTGTCTGTCCTGTTAAAACAACAATAGTAGTATATAGAAGTTTAAAAAGTGTAACATTTTTTTTCTACTTGAAATCACAACGTGACCTTGTAAGCCAGTGAATGTGGGAGAAAGCTGCAGCTCCATATTCAGCCTAGCTTAACTCCTCTCTTTTTCCCCCCCATGATTTATTTGTAAGTACAGAAATAAAGATTTGTAATTTTAAATTTCTTAAAATATTAGGTCACATTTTGGTATTTGTAATTTTAATTTTTTTTCCCCATGATTTACCCATGTATGCTTTTAATTTTCAATGGAATGACATAATAGAGGGTAATTAACTTTTTTTTTTTGGTATACCAACCGTAATTATCTCTTTAAGGGAAGTCGGTCTTTCAGGTATTTTTACAAATTTTAACTCTTTAAGCCCTTTTATGAGATTAATCTCAAGTCGGGATCTAATTACAATTAAAACTATTTGTCCCTTTTCACGTGTATTACAATTTATCCAGCTTGTATTGTCAATTGAGTTATGCTCGTTGTGTGGGTAATCAACTTTTAAAAATAGTTCATAAAGGAATGAAAAACATGACTTTAAGAGATTCAAGATTTAATTTCTATTATCGTCACAACAGTCAGATAAGTAGAGTACTAGATTTTTTCCACTTAAGACCAAACAAAACATATTCTTAACATGCCAAGCTGGTCCTGCCAGATAGTAACACTAGCGATACCAACAAATAACAAGAATAAAAATAAAAATGAAATTGCTTATTAGACTTTTTTTTTGTGTGCTGTTAAAAGTTAAATAGTTTTATGAAGCTATAACAGTAACCCTTTGTAAAACTGTTAACCCCATTATCTAGACTGATGAAACTTCCCTTGAAACTTATATCGTGCAATCCACCAAGCATTTTCATCAGGAAGATCCTCCAATCAACCAGAACTTTTGTATGTTTGTTCTGGTTATTGATAACCTTGCTTTCCAAAATCCACTAATGATATAGCTTCATAGGTATTTGTGGATAATTTTTTAGAGAGAGTGCCTTAAGAGGTATAACTGGGTCAGGACATCACTTGAGCAACAATGATGCATGAATAGAAGGATGGACAAAAGAAATGCAAATTCTCACCCTCCTTATAACTTCATATGGCCCTTAGTATCTTAGAACTAATTGGTCATTGGATCTTGGCACCAAAGAATATTGTTTGGATAGTTGCAACCTGGAACTCCCTTTCAAGTAAATATTGAACTATTTGTTGTTTCATTTCATGTGATTGACGGCCCAAGCATTTGTTATCTTGCTTCAAAGTTCCTGTTAATAATGGCCTATGGCAGACTCATGAGTCGAATATGGAATGGTGATGCTGGGAGGTGGCCATAAAGAAACTCTAATAATAAGGTTAATTAAGTTGAACAATATTAAGTTGTAAATGCTAACCGATTATGCCAATTCTTGGGTTCTCATGTGTATTGCATCTCATAAAAAATTCCAAGCACCAATTCAAGCTAACCAATGCATTGGCCCTTATGTCGCGTTGGGAGCCTCATGTCTCATGGAGTTACTCCTTGAACCCGACCTATAAAGGGGAGGGGGGGTTTCACAAGTAAACTACTTGTGAATTCTCTATGAATTTATTACAAGTCTTATATAGTTGATCGGAGTGCTTTTTGTGCGCTATTTATAAAATTAATGTTCAACGTTCACAGTTTTCACATTTATATGATTATGTAAACATGCATTGCATAATTAAAATTGATGCTTTCGTTTGTCAACTTGCAATCAATCGTCAGAAACCTTGTATCAAAAAAAAAAAAAGTCAGAAACCTTTATCAACTCTTCGAGCTTGTTTTCGGTGAACCGGGAGCTTGTACTCCCTTTTCAAAAATAGGAGGAAAAAAAGATTGGGAGAGAATTTAGAAGAAAAACATAGGTATAAATAAAAAAATATATTTTCTTTTTGATAAAGGACCATCAAATTTATCGTGGTCCGGGACTATATTAAAAAAATCCCAACTCTTCGCCCATTAAATGTAATTTCATATGTTTTTTTTTTTTTTTTTTTTGATAACATAATTTCATATGTTTTAGTTTCTTTTCTTCATATATATTTGTAATCCAAAAGACATAACTACTTATATTGGTTAGGAATGTGGCTTCCATACTCAAGAGGTGGATGAATTGAGTATTACAAAATTTTCGTAAAAGCCCCCTTCTAGTTTCTAAATAATCATTTCAAGCAAACTTTGATATGTGGAAATCAATACATTCAGGCAATCCATAATATATAATATATCACAATTATAGAACTTATATTAGCACATACAAGATATCAAAGAAGCAATTAAAGTGTTAGAAATAAAGAGTTTAGAGTTTAGAGAATTGCTAACACAATATATCCTAATTCGGTCACCACCACTTGTGATCTACGTCCATACAGAAGCCGCTCGATCAAATCTTTCACTAATGGTCAAGCTTCACGGGTGCTTGACAAACCTTTACAATCTTCCAAGATTTCGGATTCTTGGATACCTTTCAATCTCAAAGTTTACAGGTACTTGGTAACCTTACAATTCACTCCAAATTCACTTGGGAATTTGGCTACCTCTCAAATAATGGGTCTCACAACCCTTTCAACTCAAGAATACAAGAAGGGAAATATTAGGAAATGAATATACACTCTCAAAGTGTGGATATACAACTTGAAGCACTATGGGTATATGGATTTTCAAGATATGAGCTCAAATATATTTGATCTTTGAAAAATATGAAAGAATATGCAAATAATAGTGTAGAAGCTCTCAATTCATCCTTAAGATGTGTAGGAATAGTGATCAATATGTTTTAGGGTCATAAGGAATGTATTTATAGTATTTCCATTGAAAACTAGTCGTTTTTAGTCGTTTTATGCATTCTGCCCAATAAGTATTCGAATACTTTTCGTGTGGTATTCGAATACTTCATTTATAGCCGTTATAGGCCTTCTGCTCAGTAAGTATTCGAATACTTTCCGTGTGGTATTCGAATACTTGATTAGGTATTCGAATACTGCATCAGGTCTTCGAATACTTTATTGACAGCAAGAACATTGTTTCGTATTTTGGGCATAACTTGAGTTATACTTGTCGGATTGATGTGATCTTGGTCTCGTTGAAAAGAAAAAAGAAAGATCTACAACTTTTATGAGAACGCAAGATCCAAATCCATCATCTTAGATACGAAAAATTGTATGGAAGGCAGCAGCAAAATTAAGCAACAAAATTTAAGTTCAGATGTGTTCTAGCTTGCTTCCAACCACTTTTTGCGAAAGATCTTAACTTGATAAATATGTTTTGAAGTTATAAAATATGTCAAGGATATTTTCAATGGATTTTTCAAATTTCTTTCAAGTATATAAAGATTATGATTATGCAATTTGAAAAACATGTTTACTTTGAGAAAAACTTTGAGCTCATGCAATGCAATCTACCATATACTCTCACATATATTCTAAGTCCTAAAGATATATTCCAAATATGATTTTAGACTTAGCTGTATGTCTTGTGTCTTGGATCTTTTCTTGAACTTGATGCTTTGACTTGTTGGATATGACAATGCCTGACACTTTGTTGGTTTTGATAATTTTTCACCATGGTTATAATATTAAGCTTCTCTTATATGTTGTCCATGGTTAGTTATCTTTGATTTTGATGTTGCTCTTCTAATTATTCCTTGTTGCTCTTGATCCAATAATCTTGCCACTTTGATATGACATCACTTTTCTTGTGTGGCTACATCATACATTTTCAATATCCACATACGGTTGATGTTTTTTGCTCTTGATCAAAGCTCTTCTCTTTTTGTTGTTGCTATTTTGTTATCATCAAAATATATCTTATATCTACAATATCCAAAAGATATAACTACTTACGTATATTAGTTAATTAAAAAATCTCTTTCCTAAAGTCATGTTGCCAATAACCATTTAGCCCTTCATTTAATTATTAAAGCATGTACGTTTATCACAGGTGAATATTGTTTCTCAGGGTATGATGTTTGTGTTGTTTGGTTATTATAGAAAAAAAAGTGCTAATAGTGAATTGGCAATGGCGAGAAGCTCAAACAAGGGTGTTCCGTCGTAGTGATATATATGTCCAATTAGAGATTGCTAATGCTATAAAGGATAGGGATGTAAATAGGTTAGGTTAGGCTTTAATTTAAATAGATCAAGTCTGCGTAAACAATATTAGATCTGGCTTGGCCTTTTAACTTATGTAGGCCCCAAGGTATAAGTTCTATATTTAAAAAATAAAAGCATTGGCCTAAATCTATTAGCCTTTTAGCCTGTTTAAGTCTATTAAACATTCAACAATTAAAAAATAACTAAAACAATATTATTTTATTATTCAAAATTATTAAAATAATAATTTTGTAATGCAAAAAAAAAAATTAAAATAATAATTTTAATTATTTTATTTAAAATAAATAATATAATATAAGCCGACCTGTAGACTTATAGGCCCCGCATGTACAAAAAAGCTTATGGTCTGTTTTCTAAAAAAGTTTTTTTAAAAGCCTAGGCTTATTCTATTTTACTATTTATAATAGGCCAAGTCTGGTCTAGTATAGGCTAGGTCATAGGCCCCTGTAGGTCGATCTAGCCCATTTACGGCCATAATGAAGGAGATACCTTTAAAGGTAGACAAATCACTGTGCACAATAATACTGACGGCATAGCCAAAAAGGGTGGGGTGTGTGTGATAATTCTCTGAAAAGAGACTTTAGAATAACAGGATTAGTGATATGGTGACATATTTAATCTGAAAAGAGACTTTTTCCAGTTTTACCAATATATATATATATATATATATATATAGAGAGAGAGAGAGAGAACTGTTGAGATATATAGTCCAACATTGGTTGTATGTGCAACTAATGTGGAGTTTATAAGGTCTTGGGCACTCTCACCTTTGAGTTAGCTTTTGGGGTGGTGTATCCCAAGGTTCTTTACATGAACCATTACTCCAATTAATTTTAAAACACAAAATCAATTAATTAATATTTCCAAGTAAATTAATTAATATTTCCAAGTAAATAAAATTTTCCAACATCAGTTATATTCCTTTTTCTTCTTCATCAAAATGTATGTGTCTATTCATCTACCTATCTATTTTAGTTAGCTGTGGTTTTAGGTTCCAAATGAAATGCAATTGGCCCCTCTGGAATTTTGTCAAAGCATTCATTATGGTAGAGCCAATT